GTAAAACGCTTCAGCAGGCGGGCTAAATCACATGAAATTACAATCGAAAGGCGCTGCACTCTTCTGTGCACTGGTAGTACCGGGGAGGTATAACTCTGTGATAATAAAACCTGAGGGGTCTTGTTCATTGTGTTTTCAGCACTTCCAATAGGTGTGGCTGATTCTATACAAGCCTTCACCACTCTAAACAAATCTTTTGTTTGGATAGTCTGCAGTTCAGGTCTCTGTCCCTTCTTTGCTATTCCACCTGGGTAACAAGTCCACTGGCAAGAGAGTTAAGGCGACGGGGACAGGTCCAGGATTAAAAACTGAACAGAAAGACACTCATACCTCGAAACGAACAGGAGAATTCATCATATATATATATATATATATATATATATATATATATATATATATATATATATATATATCTTCTCTTTGCACTTTTCTCTTCTGCTATGGTTGAAAAAGCATTCTCTGACTTAAGTGAAGGAGTCAATTTTGAATTCAGCACAAGTGGAGGTCTATACAATCAGCAACGTTTTAAAATGCAATCGAAATTTCGTCTGCAGCTGGTACGCGATCTTCTGTTTGAAGATGATTTTGCTCTATTAGCACACAGTCTAGAAGACATTCAAACTATCCTTGATAAATTCTCTGAAACAGCGAAAGTATTTGGACTCATTATCAACATAAAGAAGATTGAGCTAATGTACCAGCCAGTACCAGGCAATCCATCTCTGCATAGGTTATGGGACATCAAAAACGTGTCTCTCAGAGTAAAGATCGATATATACAGATCAGTCGTTCTCTCAACCCTTGACGCCTTTCACATGCGCTGCCTTCGTACAATATGTCTTATAAAAATGGATGACAGGGTCAAGAATAGTCCAATAATGAAGAAAAGTAACAACATCACAGGCATTGAAACCATTCCAGCAAAGATACAACTTAGGTGAGCTGGTCATGTTGTGAGAATGGATGAGCATAGGCTTCCAGAAAAGGTGCTGTATGCACAACTACCAAGCGTTCAGTTGGACGTCCATTCTTACGCTACAAAGACAAATTGAAAGACAACTTGAAAAGTCTCAACCTGGGAAGCCCAAGAATCAAACCGAAAGAAGTGACGTAAGGCATGTTTCATTAAGTTAGCGGGTGTTGAATATAGTAAGCTGAAACACTGTGATCAGCTTCGTTAATCTCTGAAGCAGAGACGCCATCAAAATCCTGCTTTAACACATTTCATCTGTCAGTGTGGCTTTGTCGTCCGCAGCAAAGCTGAGCTAGTATCGCACTTAAGAAAGCATAAATGCAGTGTGTCTTTCCCTTACCCGATTTTCTCCACAATTACCCCTGCTAGCATGAATAAGTGTAAAACAAAAGGCACCATCCAATGCTGACCCCCCATTTATCGTTCACGATAGGAGAGTCCACCACACACACACACACACACACACACACACACACATATATATATATATATATATTATTTAAACTATTCACATTATTCGGACTATTGTCCTCATCTTTATTACAACATTTCGGTCGTTGTACTCTCCGGCCTTCTTCAGGTGGATGGAATGTCGAACTGAACCCTTTATTTCGCTCACTAGGGTAGACTATTCTAGTTCCACGTACCATGTTTAATGAATATCAGTTATGAGTTATCTCCTGTTAATTTCCCTCTGAAAGTTCTCCACTGCCTTAGCCGGGTATTGAACTCACACTCTTTGGGTCCTGTCACTGGATCTAAATGGATTTTAACTCCATCTGTTCTTTCTCTTTCTTAATATATATATATATATATATATATATATATATATATATATGTGTGTGTGTGTGTGTGCATGCGTGTATTTATGCACAATATCTTCATTCAAGCATGTTTAATTAAATAATATAGATATATTTAACTTTCTAATTCTCTAATTAGCATATTGACGTTAATTCCTCAAGGAAGTCACCGTAGTTTTTGTTAACCCAAGTACTTTCAATCTCCTCCAAGTATATATATATATATATATATATATATATATATATATATATATATATATATTTTAAGACATTTTTTATGTTTATACATTCTTTTTATAGATACAAATATTTAAGTAAATGCTCTGTTTATAATAAACAGTATTAAACAACATTTATCGGCCTGAATGTCCGAGAAATTTTCACAGAAAATATTCGTCCTTAGACAGGATTCGAACCTACATCCTATATGGAACCGTAATTTAGCTTGACGTGCCTTTACCGATTTGGCCACAGAAGCGAGTTTAATAATGTTTATTATAAACAGAGCATTTACTTAAATATTTCTATCTCTAAAAAAGAATGTATCATCATAAAATGCCTTAAAATAATTGTCCGACTTTGTACATTTCATAATGTTATATATATATATATATATATATATATATATATATATATATATATATATATATCTTCCAAGATTCTATTGTTATTATATATTCTTTCCAAGTTGATGTTTGAGAAATATACATCTATGTTTTTGCAGTTTTTTTTTTTTTACATTCGTTCTCTACTTGTACAAGGCCAAAATTTTCACTTGAAAATCCGAGATCCCAAAGGCCTACAAATATGTGAAGAAAAAAAAAGCGAAAGTGAAAGGACTAATGACTTAGTAGTCCCCGACTCCGTTGTCGAAACATAATCTAGATAGGGGTCTACATTAGTCAAGTACTTATGCCCGTCTAACAAGATACTGTTGCGGTATTCTCTGACCAAATTTATCTCTGTGCCGAGTTAGTCGACGAATTTAGGCTTTGTACGCAATACGATACGACAGAAGGGAGAACAGCGTTAAGCGGGAAAGGGAGGAGAAATGAACTGACAGAGAGAGAAAGAGGGAGAGATAGGAGGTAGAAGAGTAAGAAACAAGATAAGAGAGAGAGGAGGGGGAAAGTTTACTAATATATAGAGAGTGGATCTGACGACAGACGAAAGATTTTATAATATATATATATATACATTATAAAATATATATAAAGATATATATATATAGAGAGAGCAAGACGTAACAAATAGTAATATATATATATATATATATATATATATATATATATAAACACACACATATTAAACACACATATATATATTTAAACACACATATTAAACACACACATATATATGTGTGAATGAATATATATGTATATATTCGTTTTAATTGTGTGGAAGAATATATATATATATATATATGTATATGTATATACATGTATATTCATATATATATATATATATATATATATATATATATATATATATATATATATATATATATATATTCATTCACACACACATATATAAATATGTATATTTATATATATATGTATATGTAAATTTTTTTTTGGTTTTTTTTAATAATGTGTTTTCGGATAGCCAATTTCAGTTTAGATTTCAACAACATATACGTACATACATACACACACACACACACACACATATATATATATATATATATATATATATTATTATGGATGACAATATATATATATATATATATATATATATATATATATATATATATATATATATATAGCTCTTCAGTAAAATGAATTGGAGCACTCCGGCGGATTGGCATTTGTTTACATTCGTAAAAACAATACTCTAGATTTACTTGTTTCTCTCTGTCGAATGAAGCTAGCTCAGTGGTAGAAACTCTGACTGATCGGTTGGGTTTCGATCCGGGCTTGAAGTATTCGGATGTCTAGTCGCACTGAGGAGCTGTGATTCAGCGAAACAGTACTGTCTGCGAATGACATGATATATATATATATATATATATAGTTTTAAAAACAAGGAATGTATTGATTTTAATTGTAAAAGTCCCTAAGGCCTGTAATGAAAACAGGACAAGAGATTCTGTCTAGTAATCGTTTATTCAATTAAGAATACTACTACTCATCTGACTTGACAGCGGAAGTATACAGCTTTTATAGCTTGGATTATCTAAGAGGAGATAATCCATATTCACAACAAGGCCTTTTCAACCAACATCTCATCAGGAGACAATCGTTGGATCAACGAAAAGAATATTAACGACAATGAAGAGCAAAAAGAGGGGGGAAACAACTAAAAAAAAAAAAACAACAAGTGTATATATTTGTAACGAGGGGAGGGGAAATAATCGTGTAAATAAATTAGCGAGGGACAGTTAAAATAAAATATCCCCCAACAGATTAAGAGACTTTACAAATTCTTTCTGCTGGCAGAGAGAAGGTTTCCTTAATCCTATACAGACCGATTCCAAAATCTTCAAATGATTGTTGGAATCGGCTGTATGAATAATTTTAAACCACTCTTTTTTAAACGACTTGGCGCAGGCTATATTCTCAACTAAGTGTTGAGCAATAGCCGATTCAATATTCATGGGGGAAGATAGCATATTTTATCTATCTTACCAAGTCGTATTTTGAAGGTACATGCTGATTGATTCTAGTTTCCAAATGCAAGGTTGTACGCCCCACAAACCAGCAGCACACTGGCAATTAAATTCATATACTAAATTACTCAATTTGATGTAGGGCAATACATCCTTGCGAAAAGACGGAAACGCAGACCTAGTTCGAAAAATGCTACGTAAAGCAACTGATGGGAAACAACCGGAAACCTTCTCTCTGCCGGCAGAAAGAATTTGTAAAGTCTCTTAATCTGTTGGGGGATATTTTATTTTAACTGTCCCTCGCTAATTTATTTACACGATTATTTCCCTCCCTCGTTACAAATATATACACTTGTTGGTTTTTTTTTTTTTTTGTTTCCCCCCCTTTTTGCTCTTCATTGTCGTTAATATTCTTTTCGTTGATCCAACGATTGTCTCCTGATGAAATGTTGGTTGAAAGGGCCTTAGGGACTTTTACAATTAAAATCAATACATTCCTTGTTTTTAAAACTATATATAAATTTTGTACCTCTAAACATTTGTTTATATATATATATATATATATATATATATATATATATGCATGTTTCATTAAAAACATACACGCTTAACCTTT